TTGTAACATCTGATTTCAACAGATTAAAATAGCGAAACCAGTAAGTGGTCTAAGGTTGTTTATAAAAAAATGGATGTAGCCAATCTATGTATCTGAGGCTTTGCGAAACAAGTCTATATAATGTAAACCTTTAGATGATAATATAAATCAAGGCTTTAGAAAGGCTGATTCAAATAAAGCTTTATTTAATCCCACTCAGATTTGTTCTCCTAGTTTTCCCTGGTTGCTTGTCATACATGCATCACATCTTATTCAGTTGGCCGAGCATATAGCTCACCAGTTGAACAGCCTGTCACTCAAATGTATGAAACCATGAGCTTCTTTGCTTCTGCAGCACTAGGAGATATTGCATGTGTTTTATTATTGACTTTTATTATTGAAATGAGACATTTGACAGTGGGCCCTCTCGAATCATCTCAATACAACAAAAGAAGAAAGAGAAATGAGATTTGGCAGATTACCAGGGCACACCACCTGCATTTCCTTATTCATCACAATATAACAATTTCCATGAATGTAAAAGCAGTCTTGCATGCATTCAGCTTAGGTTCACAAAAATTGCGATCATGATCTGATCAAAAAAACAAAACAAAACAAAAGAAAGAAAAAGAAAATACTGCTGGTGTTGAGCTTGCATCTCTTCAGGGGCAGATGAGGTCAGGGTTGAATAAATGGAGGGAGGTTCTGTTCAGGAGCTTATTGTTTCGTGGCCCATTGTGAACTTATTCAGTAGAAGATGCTGGTATTATTCAGTCAAACGTGCTTGCAGCAGCCATATCGTAGTGCTGTTTAAAGTCTGTCTGGAGCTAATGTAATGCTGGAATTGTGTGTGTGTGCATGTCTTCTCTGTGTGTTGGCTTCCATTTGCTCACAATGACACCATATCTGTCAGATTTAGCTGTGAGGCTGAGTGCTTTCCATCTTATCTCTGTGCAGCAAACACAACCATTCAAAAGTACAGCTAGACGCAAGCTCACCCATAGAAACACTTGCTGTTATCGCTTGGCTTTTCTTATCTCTCCTATTGGATTTCAAAAGAGGAAACAACATTTAACCATCTTAGTGGCTAACTGATAAAACCTTTTGACACATTTAAAGGGTGACCAGACATATACAGAATATTAAATGCTTTAGGCCAGATGCTGTGCTACTTTCAGCCCGCTCTCAAGACATATAACAATCATTTCTTCATCATGGTCCACTAGTAACCCTTTATAGGCAATGGTGTGTGAAATGCCTGCATCAAAGGCAGCAAAATATTACAGAGAGCTTGGAAGTGAGGCTTGATAGTACCAAATTCTTTCTGGTCATTAAAGTAAAATATCAAAGAAAATTTTAACATTTCAGACTTGACAAAGAAAGGGACAGCTTACTAAAGTAAGTCTAGGATAACATTGATATTCAATTCAATTCAGTTTTTGTTAATTAGCATCAAATCATAACAACTGAAAAGGCACTTTGTAATGTAAGGTAAAAACTACAATAACATGAGAGAAAAACCCCAAATGAGCAAGCACTTGGTGACAGTGGGAAGGAAAAACTTCCTTTTAAAAAGAAGAAACTTACAGCAAAACCAGGCTCGGGCCATGTGCCGTGACTGATTGGGGGTGAGTGAAGGAAGACAGGAAGGGAGAAAATGGCTTGTTGGTGTTAGAGAAGAATGGCCAGACTACTTTCAGCTGATAGGAAGGTAACAGTTATTTAAATAACCACGCAGAAGATCATCATGCCTACGCCTAAAACAGCAGAACTCCACATTGGGTGCCACCCTTATCAGCTAAAAACAGGAAACTTGGACAAAAACAGAAAATAGAAAAATGTTGCCTGTTCTGATGATTCTTGATTTGGATGTTAGCATCAGAATTTAGTGTAAACAACATTAAAGCATGGATTCATCTTGCCTTTTATGGGCGTTTCAGGCTGCTACTGGTGGTGTAATGATGTGGCGGATATTTTCTTGGTATACTTTAGACCCCTTAGTACCAACTAGACGTATTTTTAGGCACCACACCATACCTTAGTATTGTTGCTAACCAGGTCCATTCCTTTGAGGTCAAAGTGTAGCTCTCCTGATGACTGCTTTTAGCAGCATCATATGCCATGTCACAAAGCTCAATTGGTTTCTTGCACTTTGCTGAATCTATGTCATCAAGAATTAAGACAGTTCTGGAGACAAAAGGGGACCCATTGATAGCGAGACGTATCTGCTGGTCCAACCTATCTGGGAAGACAGCACTAGCTAAAGATAAGCTAAGCTACATTTTCTTTACTAATTACAATTACTCAAAAATCTGTATTGATGCTGTAATGTGTGAAGACATCAGTTTGTTATAGCTACAGACAGCAGATAATTTCAAGCATACTTTATATAAAAAGTACATATTAAAGATATCTTACTAATTACCTAACTATTGCAGAATTAGCAGCAGTAGCAGCATCTGCTACTCTATAGAATTTGTTTGGCACTGTTAAGCTCCCTTGAAATAAATCATTTATATATTATATTAGAAATTAGATATACAGATATCTTGATATTTTATTTTAATTCAATTTTAAGTTTTGAAACTTTATTTTTTCTATTCATAAAATGAAGTTTGGAAAATGGTAAACCTTAAGTACAACTATAAAACGGTCAAACAGTAGGCTTTTGATACTTATTCGACTTACTGATCGACTTATTGCCAACACTGCGCTGGCTGAACACCTAAAGAAACACACACATGAACTACAGTATACAAAATTCATTCCACTCCAGGTGTAGCAGACCGCTTTGGACCTCGACCTTTCAGGAAGAATGTTTGGACAGAAAAGAAGCTTTAGTTTAAGTCTACTGGGAACGCTTTTTATTGGCAATGATAACCTTTAACTTCAGAAGTATATGAAGGCTCTGCTTAGATTGTTGGTTCATTACAGCTGTCCCCATGGGCCCCCTTGAACTGATGCTATTTTTAACACCCTCTTGGAGCTTCTGCGGGTCATATAGATGATGCAATGCTGTAATATTGTCTCTTTGTCACCTTGGTCACAGGAGCATGCTTCAGTAATGAGAAAGGGATCTTGTCATCAAAATGGAATTACTGCTTCATATTGATGGAATCTGCACGCCTATATATGTCTTAATACACCTAGTGCTTATGGATGCACTGCTCCCATATATGCTTATTCACACCCCCACACACATACAGATAGAAAGGTAGATGCTGTGACTTAATGAAATTCACAAGTTAAAAACGCATCAACAGCAGGGAGCTGCAAATGCGCAAGAAAAAGAAATACATAAATTTACTTTGTGACTCAGAAAATGTCTCCACAGTCCACATCTTAATTGTCTCAAAGCTTTAAAACATTTTTCGAACTTGTCTGCATCTCTTTATCTCCTCATTTGTGGCTTAATTATCCCAAAAGCCATAGATTTAATGCATATGATCTTCAAAATGCGTGATTCACAAACACTTGCAGACAAACACACATGCACGTAAAACCTACACGTTCTGAGTCATTATCCCCGGTCTTTGTCACATCTGCTGGCTATTAATCTCGCCCATTTACCTCCTCAATAGTCAGGTTGAATAGAGGAACAACAGCAGGTAAACACGCCGGCAGGTGTACCCGAACAAACAGTTTCGGCCTTACAGAGCATTCCTACTGATTGGAGATTAATGTGCCCATCTGGACCTCATTACAACTCAAATATGTGATGAAACTTTCTCGACACGTTCTTTAGGATGAGCATAAACAGAGTAAACCGGGACATTTCAGTTACAGGTTTTGATTTCAAAGGTGTAGTTGCCAGGATTTGGTGTGTAATGATGAACTTGTATTAGTCCTAAAAACGGCAACAAATGTCACATATGAGTGCAACATAATAGCAAAAACCAGTTGTACAAAACACAGACTTTGCTGCTAATGAGCACTTCCCAAAGGGTCGGTTGCTTGACCAATGCTAAATGTCAGCACAGGTCAAAATTCTGTAGGTCAATTCAGTAAAAGTGTTAAGGTGACATTGAGCTCATTAAAGAAATAGGTACATAAGAATATACAGAAACTGTAGCAACTTGACTGGATCAACTGGAGGACCATACGTTGTTTCTGTGTTTCATTTATTCAGGGTTATAACAATTCTCCAGACCCACAAATTGGTTCATGCTTTGGTTTATCTTTAAAGGAGATCTTTACACTGTTTACACTCCAAGTTAAAGCACAAACATGTCCACCCATAGTGTAGGAATCACGACACTTTGGTAATGAATTTTTACCAGCATATCTGTTCTCAGTTGCCTCTCCTGTGGCTCAACATTTTCTGATCTTGCGATTTAAGTAAGTGCTACTTGCTAAAACTGGTGCTCCCAGTGGGGTGAAGTCTACTCACTCCACTTTGCTCATTTCCCTAAATCATTATTATTATTCTGCATCTGCATCTAATGGGCCTAATGGTTGGGATTCAGAGTAAATAATGTATCTGAGTTAGACTGATTTGCAGAAGAACATGAGGCAAAACTGCTCATTAAAGCATGCTTAGGGAGTATTCTCAAAAGCATTCTCTGTATTTTCTAGTACAGTCTCTGTGGATTTACTACCAGTTGAAAGGTTAGCACATTTTTGAATAACTGGTCAACAGTTAAAATGTTTGAACCTGCTGGGAAAAGTGTGCTGCATTGTTAAAAAACAAAACAAAACAGGAGAGTGCTATATGTAAGGTGCTCTCGGCATCAAGAATTACAGGCAAAGTGCCCTTTATAAAAGCACTTAACTGATGTGGTAGTTGCTTCATTGGAAGCTATTAGTGCTTAACTGTGGAGAGTTATAGCTGTACTGAGATTTCCAGGTGTGAATGTGGAACCAGTTGCTCCTGAAAAGAGCGTGGATGGCTGTCAGATGCATCCTGGATTAACAAAAAAAACACTGGGATCTTAAATACAAGGCTTGTTTCCTTTGCTTTCTCACAGTGACACATTGCAAGACTCACTTCCTGAAACTATTTGCTTTCTGTTTTCCCCCAGGTAAATGGTTTGGCCAAGGTCGAACATGATGAAGCAGTGGTGGAGGCCATCAGGCGAGACCCTATCGTTGTCCAGGTTCTCCGACGTACCCCCACCAGAGCCGCGGCGGCTGTCGTACAAAACGGCACCAGCTCGCCGCAGGACGTGTGTGTGGTCGATGTGTGCACGCAAACAGACATCACCTTTGAACATATTATGGCACTGGCCAAGCTTCGGCCTGCTACCCCACCAGTCCCTGACATTTGTCCCTTCCTGCTGTCTGACAGGTGAGGGCAAGCATTTACGTAAAGGTAAATGAGTGTTAATGTTACATAGGATGGAGATCCTTCCTCTAAATGTTTTTAACCACAACTAGGGAATTATACTCTTCCTGGCCCAAATGAATCTGAAGCTTACCGGAGGTTTCAACGCCGTTTTCTTTCATTTCCTAGTAGCTATTAAGCAGCCGTATCATGGTTTGGAAACCCCCTGGAACGCTAAGTACTCTGATATCATTATGCAGAGCCAAACCCGCATGTAATAATTGCTTCGGTGTGCTACATCCATTTTCTGTAATGGGACCTTTTGCTGGGCGATTAAAAGCCAATGGGCTGATAGAGCAGGCATTTTGATGCTACATCCATTCTGTGGCTGTTTACAGGGCTTGGCTTGGCAACAAATGAAATCACTTTGTCCCATAAAACTACGAATATGCTAGTCGTGGTCAGTGACTACAGAGAGGCTGTTACATTGTGACAATTTTGCAGAGGTCATGGTTTTATGAGAGCAATAGTTGATTACCAAATTGCTTGTTTGGAGTTTTGTGGTGAAATGAGAATCATTATTAAGAAATGTGATATAAAATAATAACTTACAATAGCTGGCAACATAGCTGTCCTTTACATGAAATTATACAGCCCTTGTGTGGTGTCTGCAATATCGCTACATGGATTTGAACAACTTCTGTCTATTTAATGATCTGACTAAACTGAAATAAACTGCCATGAAGCAAAGAGATAACCAGCACATATTTTAATGATCTTTTAACATTCTACTTTTTCTTCTTTCTAGCTGTCACTCAATCCACACTATGGAACATGAGTTTTATGAATGTCCAGAGTACCTGTCTAACACCACAGCAGATGTGGAGAGGATCGTAGAGTATGAGTATGAGGTACAGTCTTGCATCATCTTTTCAGTGATCACTCTTAAGAGTATGTGTTACATTTTTTCTAACCAGCCACCGTTAGGGACCTCTTCCTCGCACCTCGCATACACAAACGTCTTTGCTAAAAGAAAACAAAATCTCCTTTTTGTTTGAACCTACACCAAATTTACAAATGAAAAGAACTTAGTGGAACAATAAGATAAAGAAAACCTTGCATCCTTTAGACAAACAAACATGGGGATAATATATGCTATGAAATGATCTGGATGGACAACCTATAATGAGATAATCTGGCAGCTAGCTAGGCTAGACTGTTTAGGTTAGGTTTTAATTTTACGCTACAATTCTAGGAGTCCATAGCACTAGCAATAACACAGCCCTAACATTTCCTTTTACAAGATCAAATTTCCATTATGAGTGTTTGTGTACAACACTGAATTCAGTTATAACAAAATGAAAGCAGTTGCCACCTTGCAGTGCAATAAAGTAATTGTTTAACTTAATAGCAAAAACTGTAGCAAAGTTGACAAAATTAGCTTAAAAAAAACTGCTGTGAACTCAGACATGTAGATTTATTTACACAAGTGGCCAATCCTGCTATACAAGTACACATGTACTTCTTCCATAGGAATTAGGTGGGTAAGTAAGCCAGGTTCTTTACTACTACAGACCTCTGAAACAATGCACTTTAAACATATGATATCAAAGTGGTAATGATTTGGGTTTGTTTTGCAGCCACAGGACATGGGCACTTTGCTGTCATTGAGTTGACCATGAACTACACTGTATGCCAAAATATTCTTATTCTGGAATCAAATGTGAGGCTGTCTGTCTAAAACTTGGTACTGCAACAGGGCAATAATCCCAACAGCAGACCTACGAGAGAATAGCTGAAAAAGAAATGAATCAAAATGTTGCAATGGCTCCGTCCAGGGATCAACCTGACTGAAATACTGTGTATGGACCTTACAGAACAGTGCATAAACACTTCTGCAAACCTTAATGAACCGAAGCAGTGCTATAAAGAATAGTGGGCCAGAGTTCCTCCACAACAAAGTGAAAGACTGATAAAATCAGACAGAAAATGATTACTTCAAGATATTTCTGGTTCTACAAGCTCTTGGATTATTGGGTTGTCCTTAGTTTTTTACAGTAATGCAGAGAGTCCCGTGAAACCTTTTCACATAACGGCACATATTTCTGCATTCTTAAAGTTTTCTCCTGGCACCAGCAGTTTCAAATTCATAAATTAAAATACCAAAATCTGATATTTGATCACGACCAATGGCATTTCCAGTTTACATCCTTTGCTTTCTGCTATTTCTCTCTTGTTTCTGCAACTGACTTTCCAATAAAAGTCCTTCAGTACGCATCAAAACTCTATCTGGACCTAAAGACAGACATTGCACAATACCTGTGGAATAAAAACCTCATTTAGCTAATGATGTTATTTTAATAAGAACAGATAAAACTTATTTTCCATTGATGTAGGAGAACAGAGGACACCATGTGTCAGTTATACACAATCTAAGAGGATAATACAAGGTTGGCCAAGATGTACGATGCTCACAAATCTAACAATACAAGAAAAATTGCAGACTGCAGTAATAGAAGAAAATTGGCCACCCCTTGTCAAAGCAGCATCTGCTCTTTAGATTGTTTTGTATAGCATAGCAAAGTCCCTGGATTTAGTGCGGAAGGCCATTCTTCATATAATTGTACAAAAAGAAAATCCCTCTCTGAAAAGCCTCCCAGTTGAATTACCTGTATGTTTTATTCACAGGCAGTTAGTTTCCCTTTTATCACGAACTGTCTGTCAGAAATATTTGTGCGCCTTTTCAGTCAGTCACTTCAAGCTGAATAGAAATTGTGAATAGAGCAAGCACTCATTGTTTCAGTGAGAGGGAAAAAAACTTGTAGATGAAATCTGTGGCATTTTAATTAAAGTGGCTATCTGTTGTATATCATAACAAGAGTCTTTAGCCGTGGAATTCAAGGCAAGTTCTTTACTAATGCCAGAATGTTAACATGTTCACAGTATATACACAGCTATGCAATATTTAGCATGTCAATTATAATTCTAGCTTCTCATGACTGCCTAATTAGCTATTAGCAATGTACAGCTGAAGCTGAAGGGAATTTCAATTGTGAGGTCATTGTTTTAGACCAGTAATTAACTTGTTAAAGTTAGGTGTCAGGGGACCACTTAAAATACACTAATTATTCATCACGTTTAGCTGACAAGGCATTTAACAAACAAGCACAAATGTGGTGCTGCCTTATAGGTGCTATTGTAAACGTGACGGGATCATCATTAAGATGTGTTCTCTGGGCACCAATAATGACAAACCACAGCTGTGCATATTCCAAGGCAATGTGTCCCAGATCAGGACCATGTGTATTGAGCAAGGTTTTGTTAGCAAACTGCTAAAAGAATTTATCACAACCCACTTCGGTATGTACACCTGTTTAACTGCTTGTTAATGCTAATATCTAAATAGCTCATCAAATGACAGCAACTTGATGCATTTAGGCATGAAGACAAAGCCAACATGAATACTGCAGCTAAAGTTCAAACCGAGCAAGAAAGGGGGAAGAAAGATGATTTAAGTGACTTTGAACATGGCATGGATGGTTGGTGATACCAGACAGGCTGGACTGAGTATGAAACTGCTGATCTACTGAGATTTTTCTGCACAATCATCTCTGGGTTTATAAAGAATGTTCTGAAAAAGAAAAAAATCAATTCAGCGGCTTATCTTATCTTATCTTAATCAGACTGCTTATAGCTGATAGGAAAGCAGTAGGAACTCAAATAACCATAATTACAACCACACATTCAGTATCTCTGAATGCGCAACACATTCACCCTTGAAGTAGATGGGCTACAGCAGCAAAAACCAACACTGGGTGCCATTCCTGTCAGCTGACAACAGAAAACTGAAGCTATAATTCCCACGGGTTCACCAAAATTCAATTTCTTCTATGAAAATGAAACAGGATCAGAATTTGGCATCAGATTTGTCATGAATCCATACTGCCTTGTTTTGGCCCTAACTATACATTGTTTAAAGCCACAGCCTATCTAAATATTGCTACTGACTCTGTCCATTCACAGTTTACTGGCAGTATCTTCTGTTGGCTGCTTGCAGCAAGGTAGTGTGCCATGTCACAAAGATTAAATGATCTCAAACTGGTTTCTTGAACATAACAATGTACTCAATTGGCCTCCACATTCACCACATTTAAATCCAATAGAGCACCTCTGGGATGTGGTGGAGCAGGAGATTCACATTATGGATGTTCAGCTGACTAATCTGCAGCAGTTGTTTGCATATATATACTATCGTGCCAGTATGGACCAAGTATCTGAAGAAGAATTAAAAAAGTTCTCAAGGCAAAATGGGGTCCAACCTGATACTTGGTGTGCCTAATAAAGTGCCCATTGAGTGTATATCGTTTGGTTGAGTGGATGATTTATGCTTATTGTTCTTAAATTTGCTAATCTCTAAGTTTCTTTTTCCTTCTTACTAAAATCTTGTGATTAAAAGAGCACATTTACCACGTGCACTTGCAAGTGTCTCCATTGTGACAGATGAACCGTACCAATCAGCCAGTAGACCTCAATATCATGCCAGGTGACAGTGATGGGTGATATTTGCTACTCCCGAGGTGCCTTCGCTGGTTTAATAGGCACTTCCTGGTTCAGTGAACTGCATTGTGGGTCATTAGGGTATTGTCTGCTGCCAGCTGTGGTCTTACCTTTACAGTCGTCTGGATAAAAGATTCTCCTGTGTGGGTCTGGGGAAGGTTGAGGGGCGGAGGGCTTGTGTGTGGTAATAGCAGTAGTATCAGAACAAGGTCAGCACACACATCTATGCACAAGCACACACATCAAATCAGCTGTCTACACTTTCCTCTGTCCATTCATGTGTATCTAACTGAAACATGAATTGCTTTCCTGTTGGATGAAACAGAATAGGGCTGCAATTCCCAGGAACATTACTTCTGACTGACAGGTTTAGCTTCACTTCAGTTTGATCGTACACATGGGTACCCCTGCAGTCATAATACCCTGCCAAATGTACCATACCACAATATCGTCAAGTAGCAACAGACTTTCAAAGTAGTTTTTATGTGGATGCTTTGATTACTATTCTAAAAGATAAAGTTCACAGTTGAATAGCAAGCCATTGCAGTTAGGGTACCCAGTACCATGCGGGTATGGAAATGGGTATTTTCTTCAGACACATTTTGATCTTTTATATCCACCTACCAGGCAAAGTAATATTGAGGAAGAACGGATTTTAATGAAGACTCAGTGTGATCACCAGGTTGCATAGTGTGGTTAATAAAGTGGCAGCTGCCTGCCAGACAGCATTCAGTTATCTGTTTGCCAAATTAATCCTGTTCTAATGTCGTAATTATGGACTGTCAACAGGTGCCAAACTTCAAATGCTGAATTTTTAATCTTCCAAACCAAGATTGAAGCAAATACTGGTATGCAAACAGATGTGCAAGAACAAAGGGTCCTATTGAGCGCTGGGTTGTGGAAGTATAAAGCAAAATGAAAAAAATGCAAAAAGGCCTGGTACCACTTTCTCTGGATCAAAATTAAACAAATTTGAAAGAATTAAGAAAAAACAAACGTACGATGAAACTGCAATATTTCTGCAGTTATTTCGAGCTGTAACTAAACTCTCTGCAGCAGGTAGATTTCTGTGTTTCAAAACTCACAGCCCCAATTTATAGCTTGGTTTTTGGACACTCTGCCCCTAACAAACAGTATTTCCTTATACAGCTGGTAAAGACTACTACTACTACAGTCACATCCGCTTAATTCCCTAATGCTTAATCAGTTGAATTCAACTAAGCTGAAATATCTCTAACATAACTAACAGTTAAAAGCTGAAAAGCTCAGTGAAGCTCAAGCAAAATGTGAACAGTAAGCCTGAAAAACAAGTAAAATACAGAATGAACAAAGGTACTATTACCTATTTACTGCAATAAATGGCAATCAGTGGGAAGCCTGTCATTTAAAATCATCCACAATCTTTTTCGGATTGACTGAATTATGATCACTATAAATTCAAAGACTGCCACTTCGAAACAGCTAAAGATGAAAGGATATCATCAGCATCGTCATCAGCCACAATGAGGACACAATGAGGCAGTGAACATTACACTTGGCAGCTATTTCTTTTAAAATGAAACATGAAGTAACAGTTAAGTGCATATAAAAGTGAAATGTTACTACCAGATGTTTAATGTGGTAATAAAATGCCACCCATTGTCAATGTGTCGTTATTTCTCCCATATATTTGTAACATGTGGTAAATGTGATCCTCCCTATTTAGGCTGGGAAACCACAGCAGTTGTCATATGCATTGCAAGCCGGATGAAATGACTTTTTAAGTCATTGCTGTGCCATGCTCCAAACTCAGCGGCACAGATTATGATCCAATCATCACTAATCAAATCACTTCGTAGCTTTAGCACCCGTGGATCCAGGCATCCAGTAATCCACTGAAACCTGGCGAACCGCCCAATGTGCACTGACGTTAGGCATTAGTGCTGCCTGATCTCACTGCATGCAGTTGTTATTTCACTGCCAGGGGCTGTACAAATCAACCAGTGTACTAAACTGCTGAGGAGTGTGGCTTGTCAAAACCAGCACATGGTGTTGCAATATTGTAAACTCCTTTGCACGCCCCACCCAACCTCTGAAGGTCAGGGCTGCTTCCACAGGGGGATAACATGCCAAAGAAATTAATTTCTTCCCCCTGTCAATCTTTGCCATCGTGGCTTCCCATGACAGAAAAAAAGGGGGCTGGGGATTTTTAATTCTTGCCCCCTATGAACACCACACCCACCCTCAGCGTCTTTATACCCCACAATCTATCCCACACAATCCATCCCCCACCCCGCCTTTCATATCACAGCAGTGAAATGAATTTGGCACTGAGGGGTTAATAAAGATTACCATTGGAGTTATCTTTATGCATTACATTTAGACACAGCTGAGATCAAAAGGAACCAGTTGTGAGTCAGGCTAAATTGAGAGAAAATTCCTGTGGGAGGGTATCAGTGAATGAAATGGCATCAAAACAGCCATCAAAGATCTGCACAGTATGCTGCCACATGTTCGGTTTACGTTTGACAGACTTTCATGTTATTGATTGACAGATCGCTTGACAGGGCTCCATTTGAGCCTATATCTATATATATGATGTCATGCGATACTTGGACTATATAAATTATTGTGCTGTATGTGTTTCTGCTTGCTTATCGTGTTTGGTGATCACTGCAGTTATATGTCTCTTTGAAGCAACACCCGGTAAAACAACGTGGAACTGAAAAACCTGCTCGGCCTGTAGATTCTCGATGCTGAAAATACCCAAATTCAAAAGGCTTCCTTACAAATCTTCTGCTGATTAAAAATTCTGTTATCAGTACGACTGACTAGCACCCTGCTAATCTGGCAACAAGCTGCAAAGACTGATAGGTTTTTGTACACGATAACACAATGACTGACTGCACTATAAGTCTTTACTCAGAAAGTATATAAAGTCAAGTAAGAAAGAAAGTTTTCAACGGACTCTGAAGAATGTGCAGTCTTGTGAAAAACTGCCTTGTGGAATCACCTTTACCTGCAATAACTTGAAGGTCTTGATTCTCTTCTGTTTTTAAGCCATTCTGTTGAAGATTTGCAGGTGTTGTAGTGGTAATCATTGTCCTGTTGCATGACCCAGTTTGGGCCAAGCATTAGCTGTCAGACAGAGGACTTCACTCTAGAATACTCTGGTATACAGAGGAGTTTGTAGCTGACTCAATGACTGCAGTCTGTGTCCAGATCCCGCGGCTGCAAAACAATACCTTTCTTTTGAGTAAAATGGTCCCGATCAAAGAGTCCTTACTGTTTTTCTTTTTATGTGTGTGCGTGTTTCTGCAACAGGAAGTGGAGCTATGCAGGCAGAACAGCCAAGAAAAGCTGGGCCTGACACTGTGCTACAGGACTGATGATGAGGAGGACACTGGGATCTATGTGAGCCAGGTGGGGACAGAAACAACACTTCTGATAGAAAACTGTCCTGCAGTGAAGCCCTTAAAAATAAAAAATGATTAAATTCAATAAGGGACAAAGCTGCCTGATCACGTAATAAACCGGGGCCCCATGATCAGCTTTGTTTGGAGTGATAAAAAGTCAAAGAAAGGATGAAATCACAGAAGAATTCTTGTTTTTACATACGAAAGCAGAGCACATGTTTGCTAGTCAAATATAAACTCAGAATAAGACATGCATGAACAAAAAAGGAAGTCAGCTTTGAAATGTGATTCCCTTCCTGACTTTCTCATTCCCTCCTCTTAAACAAGTTTGAATTGAAGGTTTTAATAAGCTCTGAGCGACAACCCCCAACACACAATATATTAAATGGCACATTTAGTGGAATCCACCATCTGAATGCCAAACGCACAAATGAAAGAAGAAATGCATTACGGATGTTCTTTTTTTTTTATTCAAATGATTTGCGCTGCTTCCTGTTGAAAAAAAAACACCTTAAATAACACAAAATGAAAACAAATTATTACATTTTTCCATGACAGAGCTGAATGAATGATAGAATTATAGGGGCTGCGAAACGAATTCAATAATGTTCAATGTTTAGTTTGACTGCAGGTGCAATTTCAATCCCATTATGAACACAAAAGGCAAGGCTGGGAAAAGTAAGAGCTACAGTGAGGATTAGCTCAGCAACATAAGGAGATAAATGGCAGAAACACAAAGACATGCAGTGTGGTTAGCTCATTTTCAGTCTTTTCAGAAATAATTTCATACACACTGTAACTCTGCGAGATGTCACTTATTCCTCCGGTTTTTCACCTGTTAGTTTTCGAAAAGCATGAAAAGGAGAAAAAAAGGGAAAGAAAAAAAGCGCAGGCACCTGCTGAACCTCGGCAGATTGTGACGGCTCCAACCGGCATAACAGATCTATTTTTATACGTTTGATAGAAGGATAGAAATGCTAATTCCCAGTATTATAATGCATGCAGTATTGGTGTAACTTCCAGAAAGGCATGCTTTTTTTTTCTTCAACCCCACTCCACCAAGTTTCGCTTTTTCTGCATATCGCTAAATCTCTTGATCTTCAATGCAAGAACAACAAAGTTTATGAAGTAGTTGTTGAGGGCTTTGGGTGGTGCCGTAGCTTATATGCATATCCACTGAGATGCATTTTGAAAAATATGCACTGCTGCTTCATTCTGCTAAACACAACGATGTTTATGCCACAAACACATGTTTTTAGTTTCTTCTTTCCCTTCTTTCTGTCATTGCTTTTATTCACTGCTTCGTATGTATCTCCATTTCCTTTACATGACACAAGTACCTGAGAAAATCAACCCGCATCATATCAAAAATAGGAGGCAAGAAAAATGAGTGTCATTTCTACATCAAAAAACAGACTTTTCTCCTAACATGACATAAAAGAGCGGCGGTGCAAGTGTGGTGCATCGCTGCTGTCTTTTCGAGATACAGAGCTGCGTGGTGATTGGCTGTCAGCATTGATTTTCAACTTCTTTTGTGCAGGTTGAGCCGAACAGCATAGCGGCAAAAGACGGGCGCATAAAGGAAGGAGATCGTATTCTGCAGGTGGGTATTTTCATGTCAGTGCCCGAAGTACATGAACAGCAGGTTATGTTATGAACTGACTCTGTGTCTGTGCGCAAGTATTCTTCACAGTCACATCACTGGCAGCATGTGATCTTGTACAACTGAACAAGACAAAAAAAAGAAAAAGAAAACAGCAATGCTCTGTTTTTCTATGTTTAATCTGGACGTCCGCCAGCTTGTTTTCGAGGCGGTCCTTTTTAGAGAATATCCAAGCGGCTGGTGTCTCCAGTCTTCGAAAGCTTATGTATTTTTAATCACCTCGTTTTACCAGGGAAATTAAAGTCCTTAGCTGCAGTTACACCAGGCATTACATCAATTCTAGGATCGCTGTCTTTCTCTGGCAATTTCTCACTGTTCCTCGTTATGCAGAAACAGCCATGGGGTCACAGTGCGTACAGTGTAAAGATGGCACAATTAGCTGTGTATAGACGAGACGGGCTGTCAGCACTTTATTTATTAACGGTGAGAAATGTCAGTATTTTCAGTAAATTGTTGTGAGGCCTTAGGGGTTTTAAACAACAAAACATGTGCAGTTCTTTACCTTTATATAGCGCCACATCACAACATCAGACTGAGTTAAGGTACTTTATATTGACTGCACAAAATAAAAATAAAAAGCTGAGAAAACCCTACAATCATGTGACCTTCTATGACCAAGTGCTTTGGCGGCAGTGGGAAAGAAAAACTTTTTTAACAAGAAGAAAACTCCAGCAGAACCAGGCTCAGGGAGGTGTGGCCATCTGCCACGACCAATTGGGAATGATCAGATGAAAACAGGACAAGACAGGACATGCTATGGAAAAGAGCCAGATATGAATAATAACTAATTACTATTTGATATTACATTTAAATGTCTTAAATAATTTTCCTACTGGTATGCAGGATAAACAGTGAAAGGGCTTGCAGGTGTGTGTGACCAAGGTCCCTCGTTGGGTCTTACGCTGAGCTGCCTGATGGATTTTATGTTTTTATTTTTTGATCTACAGCCTGTTATTTTGCATTTTCTTATATTTATACACATGTTCAGATAAAATATGAATTAATATGTCAGTGCATATCAGTAAGTGCATGTATTTCTACATTTATTTAAATACCCTCATAGTACTCATGCAACTAATTCACTGTAAATGTAAATGCTTTCTGCTTCATTGGCTTGCACCAATATGTTGCTGGGCTGTTTAAGCCTCTAGAGACGCAGAGTCTGTGAGGTGTGCTGCTGGCTTATAGAACTGTTTGCCTCTGGCCTTTAAGTTCTTTAGAAGACAATTAAAAAATGAGGCTTCAAAGCAATCACATATCTTTAGATTTTACTGTGTCTCAGGAACTCACAGTGATTCAGAGGGATAAAAACTCAAGAGTTCTCAAAGCATCTATCTTAAACACTTAACGCAGACTTAATATTATTTTTTTTTAGCATGTTACAGAACTGATCTCTTTCTGACGCAAAATCAGATCATTTCAATCTAACAATCACAACTTTGTTGTTTTTTAATATGTCTTTACCTGCACCTTTTTTTCCCTCCCAACATCCCATCCTCTGCTTCTTTTAAGCGTGTCTCAGTGTAATCCTTCACATTTCGGTTTCTGTTGTTGTCTCCCCCAAAACACCAACACGTTTTTGTATGAATTTCCTTTGATTTTTCTTTTTAATTCCATGTGTTGAATTTACCTTCTATTATTGTTGTTTCTTCTATTTCTTGTTTCTTTATTTCGTTCTTTGTGTTTTGTGAGCTGTTACAGTATTTTTCTATTTGCTACTGTTTTCATAAGTTGCAGTTGCATTTGACCTCTCTGGGCCCCCGTACTTCTGGACTTTTATTGGGACAGGATCTCACCGCAACCTTACGACATACCTTGCCTCAATCACTTTACCAAACTCTCTGATGGCAGGTTTTGCCTTTTCTTTGGCAGTGGCTTAAACAGTCCTAAAGAGTGGTTGTGGTTTGCACCACAAAACAAAGTGACCCACACTGTTCCTTTTTTTTTTTTATAACAAGTGGAAAATGACAGGTGGATCGTGTTACAGCCAGTAAGTGCAGTGTTAGATCCCACCACAGCAGCCTGGATCTCATTTTTTCTGGTGGACACCCTGAATGTGTAGCCTATGACTTTCACACAAAGGAGTTATTTATTCATATTGCATAAATCAGATAAGTCGTCTTATTATTGATGACCTCGGTAAGCAACATCTCAACTTGCTTCTAGTCTGAACAACAATACACCAACATTACTCCTCCTCCATATTTATTGCATTCAGCACTCCATTCTCTCTACACTGTTTCTGTTTCCCGGTACTATGAATGATTGTGGGGAGCAAGGCCTGCTGTACTCCTGGCCCTATTATCTTCTTCTGACAGGCCCATTACTCTAGTGAGGAAAAGATGAACGCCACCTGTCAAAGAACAGTTAATTGTATGTCTGGATGGTTTGGTGAGAGTAGACTCTTGTGAGGTCGGACTATGCACTCTCGAGTGAGTCTCTTTGCTATGAGTGCAACAGCGAAGACGTGGAGAGTGCCAAGAAAGAAATGTATTAAAAAAAGAGAGGAGGAATGGAGGAAGAAAAGGGTATAAAGGGGGATAAAGATCAAAAGACATTGTGGTCAAGGTGGCTTGCTAAAACATTTGAATTCATTTTATTTGTGGTAGGTATATGGAGAAAAAGCATTTAATTTCTTTTGTAAGATATGCAGACTGTTGTGTATCAGTTCTTTCTCACTGACAGAACCATCTATTCTCATCTTGATGTACAGATAAATGGCTGTGAAGTACAAGACAGAGAGAAGGCTGTTGCCCTGTTGTCAAGTGAAGAAGCAAGGAGCATCACACTACTGGTGACAAGGCCAGAAATCCAGGTAAACACACATACACACCTACGCAGCCTTCCTGCCCTATCTTGACAGCCTGTGTCATGTCAAATAAAAGCACCTGCCTCCCGTTCCATTCCTGTCAGTGTGATTGGAGTTCCTGCTGACACACAAACACTTTCATTCAAAGCCAAAGAGAAAGAGGGAGGTTTCTGACAAGATGTTGTGATTTCAGTTGGATGAGGAGGCTGGATGGCTGGACGATGAGCAACAGGAGCTCATGGAGGAGATCCTCGAGGAGAGGAGGAAGCAGAAGGAACATGGCTTTGACAGGGGAGATGAGGTAAGAGGGTACGCTAAGTGAAGCAACCAACAGACAAAGTGTCCATTAAAAGTACAGCGGTGAAGAGAGACTGTTTTGGCGTTGTTCTAGGCTAAGGAGGGGAGGAGGCGCGAAGGCCCCAAGACAGACCCAGGAAATGCTGGAGTGATTAGATGTCTGGGCTGTGTTGTGTGTCTATTTCGGTGATTTTATATTGGGGTCAAAACGAACCAGACAAACAAACACAAAAAACCCCCCCACAAAAAATGTTTACTGAAAAATATCAAAAACTAAGAAATACCGGGGCAAATGGGTGGTAAATAAGCTATTAAGTAATTATACAGATTGTACTTGAAAAAGCAGCAAGTTGTATAAAGTATTAATAAAATATTTTTTAGAAAATATGCAAATTAATTGTAATTTTGAACAAATAATAATAATGTTTTTTTCTCTATATTAATTACATAACTAATTATGCTTTGAGATGAAATATGTTTTGCTATCATCATCATTATTAATATTATTATTATTTTGCTTCTCACTGTAAATTAATGTATGTTACATATTTAGGTAGATGAGGGTTAAGCTAAGGGTTTATAGCATCACAGCATGAACTAAAGCATGAGAACCTGTTTGACCGAGAAAGTGAGGTCTGGACGTTCTTGACTAGTTATTTTCACCACCTGCTGTACTTGACTGACCCTCAACATGTACTTTTGAAAACAATTCAGACATTGCCTTTGCTGCTGTGCCGATATTATCCTAAAACAGCAGTTTAGGTATCTGCAGGCTTTTAAATCCTTATGCACCACCTAGCTTAACTTCATGTAGTTCATTGAAACCTTGATGGTGTTAGTTTTTTTAATCTTTGTTTATGTCCAAAGATAAAGCAGTCAAGTACATGTTTTATTTTTTTTTAGAAATACCTTACCTTTTAATAATTTTCTCCTGTACTTAGTAGAACCTTTGTGAAACTACAGTGGTCCCTCGTTTATCGCGGTAGTTACGTTCTGAAAATAACCCATGATAGGTGAAATCAGCGAAGTAGCCAACTTTATTTTTTACAATTATTACAGATGTTTTAAGGCTGTAAAACCCCTCACTACACAGTTTATACACTTTTCTCAGACAGGCATGAACATTTTCACACTTTTCTCTCGTTTAAACACTCTCAAAGTTCAAACCTTTGTAGAAAAATAAGTCCAGTATTGTAGAAACCAAAAGCACCCGCGGTTGCCTTTGACGGTGCAAAACGTTTTGTCGACAGTGTTGTGTTTGTTGGGGAGAAAACTTACAAACACAGTACAACACTTCAGAGTCACACTGCTAGCGATCGAAGATTTATTTAATTTGACAAGCTAAACACATTCTGTACTGTACAGGAGACACGGCACGAGATTGATTGACAATGGTCTATTGCCAATCAGGACGCAGAACACAATGCGCTGTAAGGAAACAAACAAAAAAATAAAAGCATGCAAAACTGCACCAAAAAAATCTGCGAAACAGCAAGGCCGCGAAAAGTCAACCACGTTATAGCGACGGACCACCGTAAATCATTGACAACAAAGAATTTATGGTCTTACAAATGATTGAAACATTCATAAACTAATACAACTGTTTCTCTTTTAATACTCCAGAATCAAGCTGAAGAAGGGATGACAACAGACACAGCTACATGTTCTTCCAACAATCAAGACAGTGGGTTTGGACGCAGTACGGACAGTCCGGAGCACCAACCACTGCTGGCTAAACTCCAAAGAAGGAGCCCAGCTCATTGCCTAAGGGAGCGGTGGCGGGCAGAGCATCCCCACACCAAGCGAGGAGCTGTTGTCCCACGGGAAAACCAGAGCACGAGAACACTGTCCACAGGCCAAGGCCACGAAGGGGTAGGGAGTGTTCGCAATAGTGGAGGTGGGATCTTAGGTTTGGAGAATCGCTTCCAGCAACTCTTGGAGCTCAAGTGTCAGATCCGAAACGGGGGTGAGTGTGGGGTGTACTCAATTCGACACAGTATAGAGTGTAGCCTTACTGAACAAGGGGGAGAGGATGCCGATTGCGTAGATGACATAGGGGGAGGGGTGGAGCAGGAGTTGAGGATGCTAAACGAGGAACTGCGCAGCATTGAGCTCGAATGCCAGAGCATTATGCAGGCCCATCAGCTTCGCCAGTCCCATCAGCAGGAGCACTCACAGCCGTTGCCCTGTTCACCAGGAAGGAGCACCAAAGATGGACACAAGCGGCACAGCAGGCTGGCTGACATTCACGAACACCCAGAGAGGTTGGAAGCCGATAAGATGCGCGAGAAGGATAGCTCCAGTGCCTACAACACAGCAGAAAGTGCACGCTCAACACCACTGGGTATGGAGAGATCTCCTGACCACTCTCTGCAGAGACACATCAGCATTACCAACCAGAAAAACCTCAGACTGGCTTCTTCAACACCCTCAAGCCCTATTCCTATCCCCAAGCCCCAGGGCACATCTAGTCGTAGCAGACAAGCAGATCCAGGTCCTGTAATCTCAAGCAGCCCTGATCAGAGCAACCCTTCCAGGTCTGAGTCAGACCCTGCTCTGCCTGCAGATGATGAGAGGTGTGAGAAGAAAGGGAGGACCAGAGAGTCAAGGAGAGGGCTTCCTTATGCTTCTTCATATCACACGACCCCTTATCATGGCCAGGGAGGATCTAAGCAACTTCAGGTATAATGCATGTGAACCTGATGCTGCTGTGGCTTTGAGTAAAGCGCATATGAAGAACACCTCGTTGTTAACCCTGTTTTCTTTGTTGCAGAGCTACATGCAACTGCTACAGCAGCATTCATCCGTGGAGTATTCGCAGAGCCAGCTGAGTCTCCTCAGTGTCTGCCGAGATCCCGTGCACCGTAACGGACGCCCTGGGGAACCACGACTAGAGTGGAAGGTCAAAGTTCGAGCTGACGGGACGCGATACGTTGCCCGGAGGCCTGCTCGTGATCGCATACTGAGGGAGAGGGCGCTAAGGATCAGAGAGGAGAGGAGTGGAGGCATGACCACAGATGATGACGCCATGAGTGAGATGAAGATGGGCCGCTACTGGAGCAAAGAGGAGAGGAAGCAGCACCTGGCACGTGCCAGGGAGCAAAGAAAGAGGAGGGAGTTTATGCAAAAGAGCCGCCTGGAGTGTTTAAAGGAGGGACCACTGAGTGGAGCTGAAGGCAGGAAGGAGATCAATATCTTGGAGCTCAGTCACAAAAAGATGATGAAGAAACGAAATAAAAAGATCCTGGATAACTGGATGACTATTCAGGAGCTGATGAGCCATGGGGCCAGAGTCCCAGAGGGCTCCAAAGTCCATAATGCCTTTCTTTCTGTCACAACTGTGTAATAAAAGATATTAAGTCAGGTAGACAGCAATCGAGGAACTACTGCTTGTTTTTTCTTCTTTTTTTTAAGTGTACATTTCTGAGATTAAATCAAATACGTTAACGCCGAAGACGTCTGTAGCATTCCCAAAGCAACTCTGGAACTAACACTTTAAGAATGTTTGAATAGTTCAACAATCAATTGCAAGACCTCGGCCATACAAACTGTTTTTTACGCTGGCATTTTGGTAATGCTCCCTGCTTCTGGTAGCGCGTTGGTTCAAACAGATTCACGTAACAGACTGAGGGACCAACACATTAACCTTGTGTATACCATGTACTGTGTCTCCATTACTCTCGTTTCTTTTGTGTCATTGCACATGAAGCGACTTCACTTGCCTCGATCGAGGTGTTTGGCTGTTTTTTTTATAATGGGGGAAATACGATATTTTTCACACAGCTTTTTGTAAAGAAATTTTTACACTGAATGTCAAAGTACTGTAAGCATTTTATTCTAATTTCTTATTTATGTTTATTACCACCAAATCGTCGATGTCAGAAGTGACACTAATTGATTGTATTGTAGCCCGCAGTGAGAGAGACCTCATTACATTGCTAAAGGACTACGACTCCACATCTAAAACCACTGCTTTTATTGTGTTGATAAAGTCACTTGAGTCAGACTTGTCTGATAAGCAGCACTGAATTTAAGGCACTGAAAGACTCAATTTTGCCATCTCAAAAGCTCATTTTGTTCATGAGCTGGGAGGGCTTTTTTGATACAGCTTTACCTCAACTTACAGAACAAACTGACCTGTCAAGTATTTGAATTTTGGGGCAAAAGGAATGGCTGACCTTCAACCCTCCCTTTGAAACATAATCGCGTGAATTGTGTTAAACATGTTAAACAAACTCTTATTTATATTGTTTACTGTCGTTTGTATTTATTGTAAATTCCTTTTTATAGTCTGTCTAAAATGTTTCGGTGCAGCTAGCCTTGAAAAGGCAACACTTTTCAAGGTGCTGTCAATGAAAATGTATAATATTTGCAGCCTTTCAACTCAGTCTGCTGTTTTCACTGTAAAGTTAATTGACGAGGCCTTGAGTTCAGTATTTGTTGATGGTGATATTTGTAATAAAAGAACAATAAGAAAAAAAATCTGTAGAAAGATATTTTTTCAGTGAGTAATCACCTCCTGTTCAACTGCATATCTACCCAAATATCTAGTAAGCCAGTCACATTCTTAGTTATCCTGCAATAGGGTTAATCTGCTGGAGACTTCCCATGATGAATTGAGCATTTCTTCTTCACTCATCATTAGCACTCATTAAAAACTCACTCTCACTACTATATATTGCTATTTGTCCTATTCTCTTGTCCTGCTCTCTTCTCTTTCCCCTCACATCCACCTGGTGGTGGATGACTGCCACTCCCTGAGCCTGCTTCTGCCAGAGGTTTCTTCTTGTTTAAAGTTATTCTTTCCCACTGTTGCTTGCTTACAGCGGGTTTTCTGATCGTTGAGATTCTTCCTAATACCACGTGCTACTCCTGTCAGCTAAGAAAAGTAAACTGAGGCTACAATTTATACAGATTAATTCAGATAGTAGGATGAGAATGTGAAATAAACATGAAAGCATGGATGCATCTTGCCTTGTATTTACAGCTCACAGTGGTGGTGTAATGGAAATATGATCTCGGCACTTTTAAATCCCTTTCGTACTTACTGAATATTGTTTAACTGTCACACCCAACCTGAGTGTTTTTGCTGACCATATCGATCCCTTTATGACCATATTCTGATGGTTGTTTCCAGCAGGATAACACATCACGTCAGTTTAAATTGTCTCAAACTGGTGTCTTGTCCATGTCATTGAGTTCCTTTAGGATGTGGTGGAATACGTTGATTCGTATCATGGATCTGCAGCCAGCAAATATCTCGCAAGTGCGTTATGCTGCTGTGAATTAAGGAGTTCTGAAGGTAAACGTTTTCTGGTGAGTGTATACTGGAGCAAATTTGCATTCAGTAAATTATTTCACACAGCCTTTAAAGCTGTGTTTTTCTAACATAATTGTTGATAATGAAACATGACTATAGCTCTGAGGATCCCAGTTGTTCTACATTCAGATAGTAAACACTATCTGACAGGTAATAAGGACTTTTTCAGTCGGAATATATCCTTACATATCTTTACACTAAACCTATTCAGTGGCATCCTCAAGAGTGGCCCTATGAAACATAAATATTAGTTCCTAAAATCAGAATACTTGACAAAATTCATATCAATCATAGGGTGTTTCTACTATGCATATCTCTCCTACGTGTCAAAGAACCCCGAACACAATTTTTAGTGATTCGCTCTGAATGTCTTCTTCAAACAAACCATGCATTATGCATGCCGAGGATAGAAGTTTACATGTTTGGATTTGAGAGAGATTCTTATAAAAGTGTACTCTTTGCAGACTGCATTGTCTCCTGCAGAGAGACAACACATTTGATGTGCGCGGATGTGCATCAGGAAGCATGAGAGGAGGCGGGCGTGCTGTTTATCTGAGACTCATAATAAAGGAATGCGCTGTAGCTGGTGGAAAGTGAAGCGACTGATCGATACTGTGCAATCGGCTACACGCTCAAATCTTTGTGAAAGATCATAAAGAAATGATTGCTCAGTGAATTCATACAAGGTGAATAAATGCAGCACATGGAAAAACACCACACCTGCCTCAAGGCTTTACCAAGACTCATGATCTCCATATTCACAGGAATTCATAAAGCATTTTGATTTTTTTTTTTTCCTTTGGTGTCTTCATTGCATGCATAGTAATTTAGCCTGTCGCTACAGTTTACAGTATTCATGTATTCATACCAGGATGACTGACTCACATTGTGGGGGGTGGGATATTGGTGCAAGGGATGGGTGTGTGTGTGATGGGGGTGCATGTCCATTTAGTGATAGGAGGCATCAAAGCTAAACTATACTCCCATTTCAAAGCATTAAAGAGACACCGGTGAAGTCTCCTCATTCCCTGTCAGTCTACTGTGTGTGTCCACAGCCCACTGAACTGAGGAATTAATGAGAGACATCCGAGTGACATCCCCATCACCAGGGCCTTTATGCATAACATTAAATCAGGTAAACACTGCACCTACTTTTCTCACAGCTCCCCATCTCCTCATATAATATCCAGCCAGTTTTATCTGTGTGACAGAAGTGGCACAGGAACTGAGGAATAATTCCCTGCAGTCAGCCTAGTATTATAAATGATTAATCCCAGTGTGCAAAGCCAAGATAATTGAATGTATTTGAATGTTGATCTATTACACACCAGTGGTGTTTGGTGGGCTAGGCATGAACAGGCTTGGATTTCCATACGTGTATGAAGCACAATAGCATGACCAAAAATACATAGCTTAATACTAAGCCTTGAAACTAAAGTTGCACACAAGCTTCAGGCTCTAGAGATAAGAGAATGACAAGCTTTGCCTTTTCTTCAGTGTTTCGTAAATAAGCTGTTATCACAGAAAATCCCCTCTTCAGAAGTAAACACGTCTAAAGTTTGAAGATTTTATTTTAAATGCACAGGCATGCAGACACTGAGGAAAGCTGGATGAATCAGATTCAGGTCACTGCTGATCAATATCTGGCTGTCCAACACAATCGGCACAAAGTCAGATCATATACAGATTCGGATAATGAGGGTAAATCCCACATTCAGCCCATAACACTTGAGTATATCTCCAAGAATTTCAACTTATGCCTTAAACAACTTTCTTGCTACAATTAGATTTGAATGTAAGCACTGCTTTAATACCAGTCCAAATATACAGACAAACATAACCCAAGTATTTCATTTATTATTATCCAAATTATTCAATTATATCCATTTGTCCAATCTTAACTGGCCCTATGCAGAAACTCAAGCACAATGAGAAACACAGTCACTGACATATACCAGTATGGAAAGGGTTACAAAGCCATTTCTAGCATTTTAGGACTCCAGTGAGCCACGCTGAGAGCCATTATCCACAAATGGAGAAAACGTGGAACAGTGGTGAACCTTCCTAGTAGTGGCCAAAATTACTCCAAGAGTACATCAACAACTCATCCAGGAGGTCAAGAAAAGAACCCAGAATAACATCTAAGGAACTGCAGGCCTCACTTACCTCAGTTAAGGTCAGAGTTCATGATTCAACAATAAGAAAGAGACTGGGCAAAAATTGCATCCATGGGAAAAGACAGAAAATTGCAAAGAAACATTTTGATGATCTTCAAGACTTTTGGGGAAATATTCTGTGCACTGATTGAAGATAAAAGGTGGACTTTTTTAGAAGGTTTGAGTCCTGCTATATCAGCATTTCATAAAAAGAACATCACACAAAAAGTAGTGTGATGGTTTGGGGCTGCTTCGAAGGCTTTAGAACCTGACAAGTTCTCTTAATTCATGGATCGATGAATTCTGCTCTCTACCAGAAACATCGGAGCATCAGTTCGTGCCCCGAAGCTTGAAGTCCCTTATGCAGCAGGACAATCTGAAACACAGCAGCAAGTACACATCTGAACCGAATGGCTCAAAAAAGAACACAATTTTGGAGTGGCCTAGTCCAAATCCAGACTGAAGTCTGATTGAGATGCTTTGGCATAACTTTAAACTGACATAGCTGAAAACCCTGTGTTTTTCTTCAACACATTTTTTTCTATCACCAGCTTTCTGAGCATGAAGATCATTAAATACACCTTAGTTTAAACAGCAAAACTGCACTGATTAAATGGCTATGACAGAGTAACAGAATAACCTGGTGTCCAGGATCTTTTGTGTATTCTGCCAGTTCACAGTAAAAAGCTTCAACAACAAAGTTTTGGGTAACTTTCAAGGGGTCATATCACCATGTGGGTGCCTGGTCAGAACAGGTTATGACATAAAAACCAACCAAGACAGTGTCAGAATAGTTTTCTCTCTCTAGCCTTTACTTTAATGTATCTGACCTATTTTTTGTTAATCTGTTAATTTCTTAATTAACAGATGTAATATGATATTCATTAATTTTCAATAATTCAAATAGAAACATGTACATAAAAGGGTTTAAACAAAAGGTCTCATCTATTGTTTTGCGTGATTAAATGTGGGCTTCACTGTCCAAAGGAGGAAAAACTGAATATTGTTGGAACATTGCTGAAGTTAGAGTATTGTTGGTTCGAGACACTGCGGTAGCAGTAATAAGTTACGCCCTGAACACAAACACACCCACATGTATTCCATCCTGGTTCGTCTTCCTTCATTCTTCTCATCTGTCTCATTCAAATTCCAGCGGGTGAAGTGAGCAGAGTGGGCCTGCTGCTGCAGCGTAGCTCATGAAAAAGCGGCATCCTGCCTCTCTTTAATCTAACGATGCCTTTGAAGGAGCAGCGAGTGAGAGAAACTAGAACAAAGTCAGGTGTTCTTTGCTGTGATGCTGGTTTAGACACTGTGACAGGGGATGGGTAGCACATTATGCATGTGTTTGGATGTTCACTGTGTGTGGGTCCTTGTGTGTGATTATAGTGTACAAATAACAGGAATAAAACAGAAAATTCTCAGTTGATGCTCTATTATAATAAAGAAAAAGATTATCTTGGGAGTGAAAGCATACTTCAAGACAGAACATTAACCGGATATCATGCACAAAATAAAATAATCAAAACAACTTGTAAAAATAAACATTTTTGTGAGTTGTTGTTGTATACTCTCTAAATTAATGTACTGTTTTTAAAATCAAGCAATTTTTACAGATGTTATTTTTTCATATTTTGAATCACTTATTGAATGATATCATTTACCATTCACTGAGATGCCCATAAGCTTTCTTTAAAAAAGTGGATAAGGTACTGGCAGAAAATTACTAGGTCATTTTCTTTTCATTTTTTTTTTACACATTTACAGTGTTCATAACGTGTTTTTCTTTCGTATTTACATATACGCATATTGGGGGCACTTTGAGATTGCCTAAGGTCTCTTTAATACTAATACTAGTAAACTGAAAGAGCTGGAGATTGAACCAATGACCTTCCTATTAGTAGTGATCCACTCTATTCTTGAGCAGGAAACAGATGCATAAGGTGGAGGGCAGAGAGAAGTCGGGGAACAATGGGAAAATGTGGGTGAGAAAGAACGAAGCAAACAGTCACGTTACTCTGTTTTTGCAATTGCTAGCACAACTAGTACCTTTAATAATATCTACATACTACCACTAATAAAAACATCTATTAGAAATGTGAACTTAAATAATTTCTGGGGCTTTTTTTTACTGTGAATTGTCTCTACTTTCATTCATTGTCATGGATAATAAGCTGTAGCTTTTTGCTGGTCCCTGATAAGAGAGTGTTAGGAGAAGAGATAATAATACATCCATAGCAAAAGTTGTAATTATCACTACAACAATAATAGGACAGTTGGACACATGTGTTTCATTTACACATGCTGTTTCAAGTAATTAAGGTGTTTGTAGCTGAAAGGTTGATTAACTGTGCTGCTGTGTGGTAATTTCAGCAGTTAGCACCCAGTTGTTCCAGTGAAATCGCTACAGGGCAAACAGTACAAGACTGTAGTTTACGGTCACATTAATATCTCACTATATTAATATGCCAAGCACATAACAGAGAAAAACAATTAACAATGTGAACTCAGTTTAAATCTTTGCGCGGTGTTGTATGCGTGACCTACAGATGACGGTTTGATCAATCAGCTTTGTTTCTCATGCCAACAAAATCAAAAAAAGTCTACCATACATTATAACACGCGGCACAATTAAGAGTTGTGTCTTATCATGGAATAAATGACTGATTAGAGTGGGGTAATGACTGATAATTTTCCATTCATTAAACTTCTATTCATAGCCCCAATTATGCGCTAATGGCTCATTCAGACGTCTAATTAACAAATGGATCGTTTTTGCCGTCTTTTCCCCATGAAGAAGGACAGCTGACTGTATTCTTCTGTAACTTCTGTAACGAACACAAATCGCAATCATCAGAATCCTTTCAAATATTTACAGGCCCAGGTCTTGATGCTTTCCAGGTCTGCCTGATACTCAAACAGGAATCGGTGTGTTATTACTGAGGTGGATTTCAAGACATGGAAGCCTTCACATCTATATTAAATACAGTACTCCAAGGCAACAAACACTCAGTAGTGAAGAATAAATTGAAATTTCTTTAATCCTGACACTACAAAGTTTTTGTATGAACTTCACTGCATTGTGGGATTGTTTGGAGAAAGCAGTTGTTTTTGCTGCATTCACTTTTTTGTACATTTTTAGGCTTGAATGCAGCATAAATAAAGTTCACTAGGCAGTAAAAAAAAAACACTGAGATCAATATCAGACAGGCTTGTTTTTCTCACACAGTGTTAGACCTGTTCTTTTAAGTTGCCTTACATTAGTATCAGTAGTACAACAGTATCCCAATGTACAGTTTCAGCAGATCGGCTTTTGCTTTACTTTGTCACCGCAGTCTTTTAAAAGCCTCTACAGTCAAAGACTTTGCAGCCACAGAGCTGTTACCTTTGAAAGAAAACTCACACCCAGCTGGAAGACTCACAGGAAAAATGGCTCAACTTGTGCTTAATGAGTGGCATAAAATATTCAAAGGCCCAGCCCCAGTGCAGATTTAACACTTGTGGTAATTGGAACCGAAGGCAGGGTGGCAGGAAACAGAAAGTGTGTAACTTCTTTTCTGCGGGATGGTGGACAAAGAAGCAGATGATGCATAAATAAAAGCCTCACAGGGATTTCTTGGGTTTGCTAGGTGTGGCACAGCAGGTTTGTGTGTTTTGGAGAATGCTGCATTACACGATTCCCTTCTGGTTCATCATTCTCATAAAGCACTTCACGGAAAGAATCCCACGTTCTTCCTCTGAATCCCACCTGGGTTCATGCCATTCTCTATTTGGTGGTTGCACATTTCATATTCAAGTAATCTGCTGGAACTATGGGAAAAAAATCACTTAGCAACTCTTTCGAGAAACCCACATAAAAGCCCTGCTTCATATGAAGTAGACATAAAGGACAGATATGTTCCTCTTTAGGAGGAAAAGGCTATGATGGTGTAGCAGACTTTTATCCTAGAGTCTTGAGTCTCCTGTTTTAATCCATCCATCCATCCACGTCTGCTTATTGAATTTAGTGGGGGGCTGGAGACTATCCCAATTGTCACTGGGCAAGAGGCAGATATTACTCTTATATTTTATTAGTAATTTATTTAATATATATGATTTCTTTCATTATCTAACACTATTACTGCATTC